GAGGTCAATGTATGCGCATATATATATATATTCCATACATGAACGTCTGAGTATGTCTGAGTATTAACATGGCAAGGATGGGGTTGCCACTACATCAAGACCCTCCGTGGCAGTTCCGCTGAGGTGTTGCGTCACATGCAAGAGGGGGGAAAAGCAAGACTGGATGGGAAAACCCTTCTGTTGTAGGCCACTCTTGTTTATAAACATTCTCTATGAAGCAGGACGAGCCTTCCATACGACCCTCCGCGCCGCACGAAGAATGACGTGCTCACGTCTGCACGAGCAGAACTAGACGAGACATCCTTCGGTGGCCAAGCTGGGCCCGTGCGTCCACACGCTGTGCCCGGCCTCGCTCATCGTTTGCTGCATCGGCGCGTCGGGCGCTTCTTCGGGCGCCTCTTCGTCCCTGAGCAAACAACTGCACTTGTTGAAGGGAAGAGGTCAGGTATGCCCCAGCCCCAGCCCCTTGCCTTCCAATGCCGGATGGTACGACTCGACCGCACTGAAACAAGTGCCCTGAAATCAGTCAGATTGTGAGACACACAGGGCAATAAAGCTCAAGGGGACCAACCCCAAATTCCTCCGAATCCTGATTCCTAAAGCTCTTCGCCAGCCCCACATGTGGTGACATCCCGCACTGGTGAATGGCGGCATATGGCGGGATGTTCGGTCTGAATTGCTCGACCCAGCGGCCGCTGGTCGCAAAGTAGTACACTCCCTGGGAATTATATATCATGGAAGTGTACATTGGCCCCTTGGATGACCATTGATTCCTCTACAAACCGGTGGTGTTCTACTTCCATGATCATTCCAGGGACTGCGACCCTCCGCTATTCACGGTACATCATGGTACCTCTCTCCCTTCACGATGAAACCACGCGTACCGCGTGTACGCCCGCGTGTGGCTTTCAGCAAGAGGCGGCAGCTTTCCGCAGCAGAGCTCACACAGCCCACAGCAGCCCTTCAAGAATAACCTCAGGATCTAGGTGATATCTAGGTGAGGCTTCCTAAGAAGTGCTTAAGAAACTCCGGCAGCTCCAAGCGGCTCCTGGAGTATCCGGCCTCCTTAGCTCCCTAGAAAACACTGGTTGGCCTAAATGGGGCGAACACTGGAAGTTGTCGGGGAACCAAAGCATGCATCAAACTCCAAACAAAGTGACCGGGATTCCCTAGTATGCTGGGCCTACATGACCAAATCGTTCCCATGATCTTAGTGACCCCTTGGATCTTCTCACAAAAATGAAGTCTTCATCAAAATGCCCAGCAACTTAGAACACTACCAGGACCTTCAGTTCGTGACCGGACAGTCGTAACCTCATTCCAAGATCTCAAGTTTGGTCACTTCGAAGGTCCCAGGATGTCCCCAACACTTGATGGGACCTCCATTGGGCACCCAAACAAGATGATCCCTGGTGACGCATGCGGACGGCACGCCGTTTGGCCCCGCTCTGATTCTCTGGGGGTGACGAAGATGACGTCGTTTCTGCGCATGGGCGCCAGTGGCGGATCTTCCAAGCATGGAGGACTTCTCAAAACATCAGTGAGTCATAATTATATAAAATACTTCTGAAACCACTGAACATGCAAGTGAAACAAGGACCAGGTCCCATTCAGTGTCTGAAATGTCTGAATCAAAATTCCTTCAGCTCACCTCTTCTAATTGACTGACCTTGAGACATCTTGAGACATCTTGATATCTGTTTCTTAGGGTCACTGCTCGTCCTGGTGGAAAGGCTCCTTCAAGGCTTAGAACCAGCCCAACGAGGTCACACTTTACTCCGAACCGGGCAGAACCGCTCTTCGTTCAAACCATTTGCTCCGCTTACATCATTTTGCTGACTGGAAGTCCATATTTTGGGGGTAAGGTTTGCTGGGATCTCAGGAGACTTCCAGATCCGCCATCTCGTCCATCCCCAATCCCAAGCCCAACCGCCCAAGGAGCAATACTCGACCTTGGCCACTGAGAGCGGGACGAGAGGGCCACCGGCGTGTGCGCTACATCGTCTTTTTTTCAAGGGTCATAATGTGATTTCTGGCGTCGTTTCGGCCTGGCCATGTGGAGGAGGGCTTGTTTGACTATGACTATGACCACCCCAAAAATAAAGGGACAACAAAAAACATCGGATTCGGTGGAGAAGTGAGTCCTCCCGATCTCATCGACGGCACTGACGTGTTGAAATACACATTGGGTAGGACGGGACCCGTGTAGCGAAAAAACGATAAAAAAAAACGCGTAGCGAAGAAGTGCCGGGACATGTCTCTTCAGAGCCAGCCATCTATACCAAGTATACCAACCACCGAAGGACATCGAAGGTCGTTAACATGTTGTTTTCGACTGCTCCGACCAAAATAGCCAAACCTCCTTTTTCGTCCAAAGATCAACCAAACCTCGTTCCCAGCTGAAACAGCTTCGTCCGGAATACTCTGAATGCCAAACACTCCGGAAGGTACTGAAATATATATAAGTGCATCTATGATGCCTATCATTGACCCCATGTCAACCACCCCAAGTGTTGGGTACATATGCCACGTCCCATATATGGAATTCTTATAACTTATGACGTCCGGACCCCGATCGAACGGAACTCCCTAGAAACCCTTCCTTTCTGGTCCCTGACCGAGTCGCAAAGGCAAGCGCCAAGCTTGCCGCCAAGCCAGAAGATGGGCGCTAAACAGGCCATGAGCTGCAAACAAAAGTGCCTCAGGTCGTGAAAAGCTGTCATAACTGGGGCGCACTTAACGATGTCAAAATTTCATTCCTGCATTTAAAAATAATTGCTGCTGGGACCGCAGCTCGGAAGTACTCAATGATGAATCCAATAAAATCAATCAATAGTAAATAACATTAAAGCCCGAATAGAAAAGGTGGGTTAACCTGCCCATGGGACAAGGGCAAAGGAGACCCTCATGCAGCCAAACCGGAGATCTGTCATGCAGCCAAACGGTCCTGTAGCCGTAAAGCTCACTTCTGGTTGTTAAATGAACAATCGGTCAGGCAGCCAGGCTTCACGCCCCTCTCTCTCCTACTCTCTCCTTTGATAGTGGACCATCTCCCCCAATTCGAACTTAGAATTGAAAATAATTCACCTATTCAAAAGTTTCATACCTGCACTTAAGGAAATCACCTCAGTAGTGACAGGGCTTGGTATGCCCTCCCCTTAGTGCAGTCGGTAGCGCTACCGACTGCAGTAAGCCTCCATGTGATTCCCTTAAGTGCAGGTGAAAATAATTCAGGGATGCTTAAATCAATGCAAAAACCATGCCCCATTGATTGAGAGCCATGGGCTTACTGAGGTCGGTAGCGCTACCGACCTCCCTAAGGGGGGGGGTATGGCATGCCCTCCCCTTACTGCACTGATTTCCTTAAGTGCAGCTGCATTTTGAAAATAAATAGTTTCAATCAGGGTGACCAGCAAGAAAAGAACATATCATCCGCCGAAAGTCCAAACAGTGGTCAGAGACTTGACTTTCCACATGTTCTAGAGAATCATATCCTTGCTTGAATGTGTAGACAGAGATTCAATAACAGCACTGCTGCTGTAAGTTTGTACGGATGGTACTAAAGAGCACATGCTTGTTCCATGCCCTACCGAATCACAACGGGTCCTAAAGAGAGAAAGCTGTGACTTCACGGGGTGCCCTATGTTTGGGGAGTTCAAGCCAGACATCCCAGCCTTCTCCCCAACTCATAGGGAGATTTAAACATGTCAAAAATAAGGGAAGTGATTTTTTGACTTTGTTAAGTGCAGGGCAGATAAAGCATCGTTTCTCCACCTGTTCCGGAGCTCTTTAGTGCTTGTTCTCTGGCTCACGTATACCTCCCCGACTGTCTGGGCTATCACCTATACCGGCCTCGTCGTTCCACACGACCGGCGGCACAGTCCGACCGCCGTTCGCCGCGCCGTTCGCGCCCAAGGTGCTGCCGCCACACGCGCGCCTTGCGGCCGAGCACACTGCACAGCCTCGCCACAGACTCGTGTTTCCACGAGTCGGTCGGTGCAGGTTGGACACCAACATCGGTGGTGTGGCAACGATTGGCGTCCAAGTAGCTTCTCAGGTACGGTGATTGGAGACTATTTATGTCAGGAAGGCCCAAGTACCTCCTGAGAAGGTATGCGGATCCTCGGGATTGGCAAGCTGAACGATTTGTGAAATGGAACCAAGCACACCGGGAGTTCTTGAACTGCCTTAGTCAGCTGTACGGAGTTTGTTGTGAACTTGTGCGGATAAATTTCCCCGGCGTGACCTGATAGGCGTGCCAAACCAACCATCTCATTGTGAGTGTTGCTTTCATAGTCGTTGTACTTAGTGGATGTGGTTGCGTTCGGCGTTGCCCGAAAACAACACGAACATGAACCTTAAGCCATACACTCCATGGGACTGCCATATATATATATGCCTACATTGGGGTGTTTGGGGTGCCAATGTAGGCATATATGGCAGTCCCATGGAGTGTATGGGTAATGACCCCTGTAAACATGTTCCTATACATTCAATTACATTCGAACCCGTGATGCTTTCACCTTGCTTTTTGAGATGTTTTGAGATAGCTTCACCTGTGAGGCATCTAATGAAGTCCATAAGACGACTGTTTTAGTTGATCCATTGATCCTCGTGGTCCTTCTAACCCCGCCGCGCCGCAGCAGAAGACCACATGTTTAAAGAAAGAACTTCCAGGAGTCACAAAGGGGTTGGCTTTTAGTCCTTAAGCGAGTGGATAATGGGCACCCCTATCCTCCAATAGGCACCTCTTTGTGACTGCTGGTTGGAATTGGGTGTTCACGTGCCAGCACGACATATCAAGCCCTGCAACATCAACCACAACCCACGCCCCCAACACAAGCTCCAGTAAAAAGAAACACCATGAAACACACAACTTCAGTTTCCCGGTCGGATGATACATTCCCAAAAACTCGATGTGGTGGCATGTTTACATACATATTGAGGAGTCTCGGCCCGAGTCCTTACAGGGGTAGACTTAGACGGCGGAAGTCGGGCGGATGGTGGAACCCGTTTTGAATCCTCTGGTTTGGGGGACGCTGCTGCCGGAGCATGAAGGCAGCAGCGTCACTTTGGTTGTGACCATGGATGAGCATGGCAGGTGGATCAATCTCGCCTCGAAGCAGCGAGTTGTTCTGGATCTGACGGCGCATGTGGGTGTTGTGCTTTCTATCCATGCCTGGATTCTCACTAAGGTTACTAAGGCCGGAGTGGCTCATTGTGTTGCCGCTGATCGCTCGAGTTATTTTTGTCTTTCAAGCTTTTCGAAAAGCCCCCGATTTCATGTTGAGCTTTGCTCAGGCTTAGCTGGAACTAGTTTGGGTTCAGTGGCTGCAGGGTTCCATCCCATTTGTGGAGTGGACTTCAAGCAGTTGGCTGTTGATGCCATGACCCGGAACAATCACCCGTCGCCAATTTTGGGTGACATCAGTGACTCGGCCACTTGGCTTGCCATCCAAAATTGCACTCAGGGGCATCTTTGTGGAGCGGTGGCAGGTTTTCCTTGCCAACCTTTTGCATCGATAGGATCCAAACTAGCCTTTCGTGACGCAAGAGCTGCAGTTTTTCTTAGGGTACTTGATGTGACTTGGATTCTGCAGAGTGATTGGGTCTTGCTAGAGTGCACCCCAGCCGCGGGTAAGAATGCGGACATCATTCGTCTCCTCGATGAGTACTGCAAGATTCGTTCCTTTCATTGGACGTCTGTGGTCCTGAAGTTGGAGCAAGCCTGGCCTTGTAGGAGAAAGCGATGGTGGGCTCTCCTCATTCCGATTGATGTTTCGCTTCCGCAGCTTGTTGATCTTCCTTTCATTCAAGCCAACCAATCGATAGCAGGTTTGCTCAAGGTTTGGCCACGTTGGAGTGATCAGGACGAGCATGCCTTAGCTTTGGACGACCAGGAGATTCATCTCTTCAGTAAGCACGGCACGGATGGCAATCTCTTAGATCTCAACCATCATGCACCTACACTGCTGCATTCTTTGGGACACCAGGCCAGGAGTTGTTCTTGCGGCTGCAGGGGTCCACTGTCAGAAGCGCTTCTTGCTTCACAGGGATTGCACGGTGTATTGGTTCGAGCTCAGGATGACCAGCATCGACTACGTCATTTGCACCCCAAAGAGGCCTCTTGGTTGGTCACCATTCCTGGTACCTTTGTGCATAGTGCTGCAGTGAGAGATGATCTCCCCCTCATTGGGCAAGTGGCCGCGCCACTGCAATCAATGTGGATGCTCAGCTTTTTGAGGCAGGTTACTGACGCACCGGATTTCGATCAGCGTGGCATGGTCTCTGAGTTTTTGAACTTCCACAACTTGTCACATGCTGAGCGGTGGCCCATTGTTGGCATGTACAAAAAGCGAAGTATCACTGTCAACGTGGATCAGGAGCCAAGCTTTCAGGTTGCCATTGACACGCCCTGCACTGTTGGCCAACTTCGACGTGCTTGCTGCGCCATGGGCATTGATGTTCAGGCATTTTTTGCTTGGGAACAAGATCGCCTCTTAGCAAATGATGCATTGCTTCGGACAGCCAGCATTCACTTTCATCCCCCTCTGGTGGGATGTGGGAAGCAGTTTGATTTAGAGAAGCAAGGCGTTCCTTGCTGTTTCCAAAGACAGGGACTCGATGACCTTACAATGTTGCAGCAAGCCAGGAGATTGATGCAGAAGTCTGGACTTGCTGATACTCAACTCTGGAGCCCGAGGCATATAACCAGTTTGTTGGAGATGTGGCCAGCCACTGCCAGTGACGACATCAAGAAGTACCTCATCCATGAGCAGAACTTTGGTTTCCTTTGGATTGATGGACACTGGATTGTTTTCCACATTTCCGTTGAAGCGGATACCACAGTTGCCCGCTTCTTTGATGGGTTCCAAGCTGAGCTTCCGGCTGATGCTGACATTTTGGCGGCACGCTTTGCAAGAGCTGCAGGTACTCCCAACACCATTGTCAAGGCTGAACACTGTGTGTCTCAAACACATGGTTCTCACTGTGGAGCAGTTGCACTACTCAACCTCGGTGTAATTCTCAATCTCTGGCAACAAGCCGATGAAGCTACAGCTGAGTTGTGGCATCAGATGCTTTTGTCCAAGCAGCAACGGCAAGGGCGGGGCAAAGACGAAGCAGCAATTACCATGCTTGCTGACATCCTTCATTCCAAGGGTGTACCAGCCGATCAGTTACAGTCACGTGCGCAAGCTGCCATTCGCAAGCTCACTTTGCCTGTCGTGGAGAAGGCTTTAGCTGCCAAAGACCCGTGGAAGGCATTAAAGGAAGCAGGGTCTCTCTTGTCCAAGCCGTTTCAATTTGTGCAGTATTCTGAGCTTCAAGCTCACATTCAGAGTCGTGCTGCAACCAAAAGAGGGGCTGATGGAAAGGTCGCCAACCAGAAAAAGCCCAAGAAAATTCCTCCAACCTTGTCTCTTGAGGTTGATGACATGGAACTCATTCCAGGCAGCTTTGTTGATCCAGCTGGAGATGACTGTCCTGTGCTCACCATCCAAGAGCTGGTCAGCGACGCCAAAGGAGTGGCAATCGTGACACAGGAAATGGCTAAGGACCTTCGATCAGACTCCACCAACCTCAGTGTGGACTCCTTGGCGGTAGTGACCATTGGAGAGCTTCCTGCTGATACTTCGGATCGGGTGACAGCTGTTCAATGGCCTGCTGTCTACAAACTCACTTCGGAGCCGATTTTGGTTTCTGGTTCACTAGTACAGCTTGGGGATCTTACAGTTGAACGGAAAAAGCATGAGAGTGCACCAGAGGTTCCACAGCTCGACGCTACAGTCCTCAGACTAAGTGTGCACAAAGATATGTGTGATTGGGATTGGGATGAGCTCAAGCAAGGCCCGCTCAAGTTCCTCGTGGCCAGGACTCCTCAGCTTCAATACTGTGATGGCACGGACTGCATGAAGAACTGTTCCAAGTTTCATGCAGCAGTTGATGAAGCTGTCAATACAGTCATTTTGGATGCTTGGTCCTGGAGATGGAGCACAAACGAGGGAAAGCAGGTGAAGATTGCCATTGCGGACATGTTTGGAGTGTACCTCAGGGTTCCTTCTTCTGGGCTTGATTCTCTCCTCAAGATCAGTGGTTGGCATGGCCTTTTCTTTGAGCCCCGCTCCAATGTTTCGCAAGGATCTCATCCTGCTTACAAGGTCGTTTGGCTTCCGAAGAACACCAGTCTTGACGAAGCGCACAAGAAAAAGCGAAACATTGATGTGGTGTTGGGATTGGCTAGGATGGCTTGCAAATTGGGCCTCCGCATCAACGTCAAAGATGAAAGTATGGTCCTCAAGCAGCTTTATCCTGACTCCAAGCAAGTTGCATGCAAAGTTACCCTCACTTTCGAAGTTGGACCACTGCCCTTTGGCATGACCAGGGAGGACATTGTGCTTCTGCTCTCAGCATGGAAATGGTTGGCCAAGCTCATCAGACCTCTCAGATCCACTCAGGTTGGCAAGTATTGGCAAGTAGGTTCAGAGCAACCTCCCCCTGCTCCGATCCTACCCACAGATCAGGGCGAGGTCACAGTTACCTTGAGATCGCAGAATAGCAATGAGACGGAGCAGAAGAAAGTGGTCTTTGCTTCTGCAAAGACGCAGGCTCGCATGAAGGGTGTCCAAAGCAACAAAGCTCTATCCTCCAAAGCTGGTGAAGCTGAAGACAGTTGGGTCTCAGGCGGTGATCCTTGGCAGAATTTCAAACCGACTTCGCACAAGTCTGAGGAAGTGGTCTTCACACAGAACCAGCAACGCCCCTCACAAGAGGCCCGCTCCAGGATGTCCCAGATGCAGCAAGAGATCGACGACCTCAAGAGTCAGCTGGAGAAGACGGGCACAGAGGACGTGCACATGACTTCTAGTTCGCTTGCACAATCCTCTGAGCTGCAAGAACTGCGTGCACAGACCAAGAAGCATGAAAGCTGGTTTGCTGAGCAAAACAACCGAATGACCAGTTTTGAAACCACATTGCAGGCTCAGGGACAGCAGATTTCACAGCTGAATGAGTCTATGCAGTATCAGTCTTCGGCCACTTCGGCGCTACAGCATCAAACGGTTGAAATGCAGACGTCCTTCAAGGATCAGCTTACCTCCAGCTTTGATGCACAGAATGCCAGGCTTGAAGCATTGTTGGAGAAAAGGTCGCGTACCTCGTGACTATCAGGGCGTGGGAGGTCTGTTCGATCTCCTCCACGCCACCCCCTCTTCTACTTTGTTGTCTTTTCGAGGCTGTTCTCTGGGGCTTGCTCTTGCTTTGCGCCTATTGGCTCGTTGGAAACTTCAGTCATGGGCTCACTGCAGGAGGATGGAGTGAACTTGTCCTCAACCGCATCCTTTTCTTTCAGTTCCTTGTCGGGGCTGGCTTCCTCTCACTGTAGAGTTGGAGAAGCAGCCAATCCTGGACCTGGGTGTGACATGATTGCCATGGGGTCGACCAATCCTTCTGGTCTTTCCAGGAGGGTGTCCGAGGTGATGCAGTTACCGCCGGGTATTTGGTCCTTCAGCGAGACACAGCTCACTGAACAGGGCTTTCGTTCCTTTGCTTCACAAGCTCGTCATTTAGCCAAAGAACAGGGCCGACAGCTTCGAATACACTCAGGCGCTGCTGCGCCCCCTCGCTTTCTGGGTTCTGCTGCTGGTGCTTGGACGGGTGTGCTTACTATGTCTGACTTCCCTCAGCAACTTGTTCATCCACAATGGAAGGGAGCTGAATTTGAATCAGGCAGATTGCTCATGAACACCGTTCACATTGGTGGCTTGACTCTCACAGGGTCTACTTTGTATGGTCCTGCCAATTCGCCTACATGGAAGCAGCCTTTATCTCTGCTCTCAGAACTCATTGACACGGTCACTGAGGAGATCGTCCTTGGAAGATCTGGATTGCGATATGTTGCAGGGGATTTCAACTGTGATCGCATGCAGCTTCCGCAATTTCATGAGTGGTATCGTAGAGGTTGGCGAGAGCTTCAACAAGTTGCCTATGACCGTTGGCAGCAGCCTTTCCAGCCCACATGTAAGGCTTCAACTCAGCGTGACTTCTTCTGGGCTAGTCCAGAGCTCTTGCAACGACTGCAGCAAGTGGAAGTGTGGCACGATTTGTTCCCGGATCACTCCGTTGTGGTGGGGCACTTTGACCTTGCTCGGAGTTTGGAACCGTTGTACTACTGGCCCATGCCGGTCACTATCCCGTGGGTAAACTGCAGGATTGGTGAGTGGCACGACGCTGTTGCTGAGGTGCATCATGCTCATTCCTGGTCTGGCGACACTACTTCTGCCTTTTCTGCTTGGAGCTCTAAGGTTGAAACTTCCTTGCATGGTTTCTTTGACAAGCAACTTGGGAGTTTTCCTCATGGTGCGGGAGGTCGTGGTGTGCACAATGTTCCTCTTAAGGTTACCCAGATGACACCACGTTCCAAGCCAGCGCGTCCAGGAGAAGAAGGGCTCTCTTCCTCCTTTGTTGGCCTTGCGGTGCACCGTTGGTATCGTCAACTCAGACGTCTTCAGGCACTTGTGCAGTCATTGCGTGCGGGAAGCAGCACTGCTGGTGCTACAGTATACAGGGTGCAGCTATGGGCCTCGATTACCAAAGCGGTTGGCTTCAAACCGAATTTTCACAGTTGGTGGATGCGAAGACACATCCAACTTCAAACATCTCCACTGCTTTTGCCACAATTCCAACCATCGCTGGTAGAAGCTGAAGCCATCTTCCAGGACTTTCGCATGAACTTCAGAAGTTTTGAGCAGTGGCACATTGACAAGAGATCTGCTTTGCTCAAATTAAGGCGAGAAAGCTCTGCTAAGGCACTTTTCAGGGAAATGAGACCAGACCCACATGAACCACTGGACACACTGCTGCACAAGACTACCTACGATGTCGACCAGATTCACGCAGCGGCAAATGTTGTCAAACTTGATCCTCCTTTGTCTGCCATGCAGGGCACTTTCTGGCTTGATGACGAGCAGATTGAAGTGGAACAGAGTAAGCAAGTTGATTTCCCAGCCCAACAAGGCTGGGTCACAATTCACTCGGACCGCCTCATTGTGCCTGGTCAAACTGTTGAACAGCACGTGGTGTTGGACACCCCTCAAAAGGTGCAAAATGAGCTCGCTGATCTTTGGGCTGGGAGATGGAATGTCATGGCCTCTCTTCCTGATGGTGCATGGAACCGCATTTTTGCATTTGCCAGGGACTACACTGCTACTTTGCCTTTGCGGTTTGAGAGATTCACTGCTGAACACATTGTTTCCACTCTCAAGAAGGGAAGTGGACTCAAAACCCGTGGACCAGATGCCTGGAGTAGGGACGACTTGCTGGCACTTCCCAATGAGTTCAGGTTAGATCTGGCGAACCTCTTCACTGCAGTTGAATCTGGAGCTGACTGGCCGCAGCAACTTTGCAGGGGACATGTGACATGCATAGCTAAGGTTGCTCAGGCCACTGAGGCTACGCAGTACAGACCCATAACCCTCTTCAGTTTGCTGTATCGAATTTGGGGTAGCTGTAGAGCTCGTGAATTGTTGGCACAGCTTGAACCTTTTGCCAACTTCGACACCTTCGGCTACATCAAGCACCGTTCTTGCGTTGACTTGACTTATGCCATCATGGTTCAGGTGGAAATAGCACTGCTGCAAGGGCTCTCATGCAATGGAGTCATGGTGGACATCATTCGATGCTTCAATCATTTGCCTCGCAAACCGATTTTCCTTTTAGGGCGAAAGATGGGACTTCCCATGCCTATACTTGTGGCCTGGGACAACTTCCTTCGAAACACCCGTCGTTCTTTTCGGGTGCAAGGGATGATAGGGCGTGAAGTCCCGTCTGACAGTGGATTCCCAGAGGGAGACTCAATGAGCTGTTTGGCTATGATTGTAGCGCTCTTCAGCTTTCACAGATACTTTCAAGTCTTTGAACCAACGATATCAGCATACTCGTACGTCGATAACCTTGAGCTGGTTTCTTCTGAAGTAATGCATCTGGTTCGAGGGCACCTCACGCTTCAAGCCTGGACAGAGATGATGACATTGCATTTGGACCAATCCAAAACACTGGCTTGGGCCGCCCAAGCTGCTGATCGTAGACTTCTGCAGCTTGCTGGCTTTGCCATCACTGAGGGGACTAAGGATCTTGGTGCCAGCATGTGCTATGGCTCTCGCCATCGTAACCGAACGCTGCAGCAGAGAATTCTTTCCACTAAGGTCTTTTTTGAGAAGCTGCGCAGATCCAATGTTTCCATATGGCACAAACTTCAGATTTTACACGTTGCTCTTTTTCCACGTGCACTTTTTGGAGCTGATGCAGCCATTTTGGGACATCACTGGATCACCAAATTGCGAACCTGGACCATGAGGTCTCTCGGCTTTGCACGTCCAGGAGCCTCGCCATTGATCCGACTAGCTTGGATATGTCCGGTGAACACGGACCCGGGTTTTGTTGAATGCTGGAACGCCTGGAGCTCTTTTCAGCGGCAGCTTCACAAAAGTACTTTCATCAGGAAAGCCTGGGTAACATTTGTTGAGTATGCTGGATCTAAGGGCACATATGGTCCTTTTGCCAAGATTTTTGCACTCAGTAGCACTTTGGGATGGAGCTTGAGTCATGATTTGGTCTTGCGCATCTCTGACGGATGCCAGGTGCCGTTTTTGAGCCTTGACCGTGCCACTCTCAAGCATTTGGTCACTGAGGCGTGGTTTCAAGTGATTGCGCGCTCGGTGCGCCTCAGGAAGGACTTCAGTGACCTTGAGGGCATTGATCATGCAGCAACTTTTGGTGCCCGAAACACACTTTCTCATGCTGAGCAAGCTTTGCTTTCGTGCGCCCAAGATGGCACCATGTTTTTGAACACCTTCAAATCCAAATTTGATCCGAGTAGGACCTGTTTGTGTGATTTTTGCGGACAGGAGGACACGCTGGCTCATCGAGCCCTAACTTGTCCGCACTTCGAAACTGCCCGAAGAGATTTTGAGGACTGTGTTGCCTGTTGGCACTGTTTTCCCTCAGCGCTCACGCATCACGGACTAGCGGGTGCAAATCCTTGGATTGATGATTTTCATTCTTTGTTGCTGCAAATTCCATGGGAGCCCACAGAGTGGCACAGCAGTCCCTGTGGAATTGGGACTCAGCGCATCTTCACTGACGGAAGCTGCTCACATCCTAAGGTACCGTGTTGTGCCTTGGCTGCATGGGCTTGCGTCCACGAAGATAGTGGGCAAACTCTAGCCTCAGGACTTCTTCCTGGACTGAGACAGCATAACAACAGAGCTGAACTTTTTGCTGTTTACGTGGCAGTTCTTTGGAGCAAGCACTTTTTCTGTGACGTGGACATCTTCACTGACTCTAGCTATGCTGTACGCGGCTGGGATGCTCTGTTGCGCACTCGACATGTTTCCTTTGACTGCACCAACTCAGATCTTTGGGAGTTGCTCTGGCAGGCAATGCTAGTCCACGAGAACACGGTTCGGCTGTACAAAACAGAAGCTCACCTGGACCAGACGCTTCTGACGGATGCCAATTCGGCCTGGCAGGCGCACTGGAATAGTGTTGCAGATCTTTCTGCCAAAACTGCCAGACGCACGGCAGGCTGCGCTCGCTTGCGTCAAGTTCATGAGAGACTGATTAGGACCTATGAGTGGCACAGGCACTGGGCGCTCCGCTACCAAGCCTTTCTGCTTTCGCTGGCTCAAAGGTCCATGAGTACTTCTACTACTGAGAGTATGCATGATGATGACTCGGCGTTGAATTTGTTTAACTGGTGTTCTCAGAACCCACGTGACCTTTTTGATGAGCTGCCCCTAGATTTAGCTTCCCTGATCTCCCAATCAGTGAAACTCCGTGATTTTGGCCTTCCCATAGCCTTGAAACTGGCTACTTGGCTCTCACGGCTAGATACTGCGGCCACGCATCTTGCCCCAGTTTCGTATCTCGAGATGTTTGTTGCTTTTTCGAGTGAGTTTGATGTTGTTTTGCCGGTTCAGGTTGGTACTCGAAACAACTCGCAAGATCCTTTTAGTAGGAGGGCTGGTGGGCTCCTTCAACGTACCTTGGTATCACAGGTGAAGGTTTTCAGGTATCTCTTTGATTCTTTGTCTGTTGCTTTGGGTTTTGTTTTTGATGGTGCTAGTGTCAGCTATCCTCAGTTTCATCTTCATCTGTCCTTGGATGCTCGTGTGATACCTTGGCCCACGTCTTTGGTGTCAGTCACCTTGGCGAAGTTGGGGGAGTTCTTCCAGGCCAGACCCCTGCGGTCTTCGCAGGAGTTCGCTAGGCATTGGCCCTAAGATGGGGCTGAAGCTTCTTAGAGCGAGGCGGCTCTGCTTTGCCGAGCCCTTCGTGTCGGCGACTTGTCCGAGAGGTGCGCGTACATACATATTGAGGTGGTTGGCCTGGGGTCAATGTAGGCATCTAATCTATGCCAGTCAGGTGTGGAACGGGCTCCAGTGGGGTGCAGTCGATCCTTGTCATGACTGGGGGGGTGCAGTCCGTGCCCAGCATAGAATAGAAGCGTACCAAGCGTGGTTATCGAGATGCGAGATGCTGAAGAGTGCAGAGTTTCGATTCTGCTGTGTTCATGTTTGGAACTTGTTCAATTGGAGGATGTCCATTTTCCAACGTATCATTGAGCAGCTTGCGCAAGCCTTTCTACTCAATGTGGCCATTCGACACCATCGAATGGTGGAGTCTGCTTGGTTCCCTTCCTTCAGAATCAGCCCATATTTCTGACAAATGTCTTAGAGCTCCAACGTGCTCAAAGCACATCCTCAGGTAGTTAGACCACTCACTGCCACTCACCCCATACGGACCCAAACCCCAGGTCCTTGGAGCCCTAAGCCCTAGGCGTCATCAAATCTGTGGCTGATGGCATCAAAGCTCCTTCCCGAATCCACGTGGTAAACAGCGCTCAATCTGCTTGCCACGCCACATCGGCACTGCAATGACGGCGGAGAACCTGACAACAAAGGGTCGGGGTCTGTGAAAAGATGGGTGCCCAGGCCCAAGGGCAAAGAAATCCAAGAGAACCTGAACTGATCATATTATCCCATTGCCAGAGGATGATGATTGTTAACAATAAGGGCCCTTCCACCCAAAAGTGATCATGGTTTTACAAGATTTTATCCATTCTTAGTGGTACTGGGACAGACCTCAACCATCCGAAAACCTGGACCTTCAGTGGGGGTGCACAAATGAACAGTTTTCGGTCACGTGGTCTGAGACATCCAAGTCCTTCACCGTGCCCCGTCGTTCACAGTGCCCCGTCAGTAATAGCATCAACCGCCTCAGAAGCCCTAGGGATCCAGTCGTACCGAACCTCAGAAGGTGATTGGACCCTCCAAACCTACATAAGTTACATAAGAGTGTCTCCAATCACCTTCTGAGAAGGTACGACTGGATCCCTAGGGAAGGTGTTTGGACCCTCCTGGCACCCGGGACCCCAGTCCCACCTTCGAAACGAAGGTACGACTGGAGGCCTATAGGGGAAGGGGGTTGTGTTGACTTTATTTCCGTGCCGTGTTGCATACTCTGTGAAACAGTGGGGGGGGCGTGGGCACTGAGCATGAACAATCTCCGTGACTGGCTACTTTCTGGGTCCAAAACGTGTGGCAACATGCGGCATCCAGAACGACACGTCTTGGGGACTTTTTAAGTTCAACATCTTGTAGAACCTCCGCAGTGACTGCAAAATAGTTAACAAAGCTAAGTACTTACTAAGTACTTATAAGTCCAAGCTAGACTTAGCTCAGCTTAGCTAACCAACCGCCGGGCAAGTAGGTAACAATTAAAGTATGTTACAGTTAAAAATGAATGGTTTTTGACCTGCAAGGACGGACAGGCCCCCGAAACACCTGTTACAGCTCGCTTTTTCAACATCCACCATCCATCACCTCCAAACTACTTCCCGCCACTCGCCACACATCCATATATACCCTACAAGTCAAAGACCGCATTTTACTGGATATGGTCATACAAAACCAATACTTAATTAAGGAGGTAAAAGACCAGGTTATACTGGCTCTTTGGACTTGTAGGGGTAGTAATTTCTGCTTCTTAAGCCCGACTGCCTTCCATTTAGCCCGACTGGCCCATTTCCATCACCGAGGAGCTGCAGAGCGAAGAGTGTGCCGAACACGTTCAACAAGCTCTGCCAGGACTCATCTGCATCTGGCCGCGTGACGGAGAACAACACCACGCCTTAGGCAAGCGACGGCGAGCGGGTCCACCTTTGTTTCAAGGGAGGCACGGTTTCTTCAGCGTTCATCCATGTGTGGATCACCAGTCAGTCTTGAGCAAGACCAACAAAAACTTGACCTGAGTCTGCAGGATGCACTTCACTGGAGCCTTCTAAGGGTCTCCAGTTTCTTCACACCTACATCTGCTTTCTACATGTCTAGGCACTTGCTGTGCAGGAACCGGAGAAACATGAAAATCATGAAACAGCAAGCACCTCAGAACCCCATGTCGCTCACCCGGTCTTTTCACGGAAGCAAGTTAAGCAGATGCGAACTGGTACGGAATGCGGACCTATTCTGCATCGTAACTGAGCGATGTCCTGCGCGATGTCTCGAAGCCGCCTGTGGATCCCGGCCAACGACCCAGATCTTCAATGTGAGACCGGAGGGAAAACGACGGAAACGACGAGGGAAACGACCTGCATCACCTAAGCCCCATGTGGGTTTTTCCACTGCCCCGACGGCACCACGACCTCATAGGTACCGTTGGGAGGCAAGTGGCCCTCTGCTGGGCTGTGGAGATTCGGTGAATGGCTCCACAAGCCCAACCCGGTCGCTGTTGGGCGGCATGACCTGTGTGAGTGTGATGCAAGGGCTGAACTGTTCAGAGCCTGTTCGAGAACTTTCATGAAGCGTAGCTCATCCGCTTTCTGTTCCCCTCCCCTCCCCTCCCCTCCCATCATGGTGACGGAGGGAATGCATGGTGCCCGGAAAGACCATTTGGCGGTGAACACGGCGAAACCATGTTGGTTGGAGGGAGGGTAAGCATCACTTTCGCACTTGGCCCCCGCTCCCAAGCCGGCCAAGGTGCAAAGAAAGGAGAGGTTCATGAGAAAAGCTAGGCGGCAAGTGAGCTGATACCTCAGATTCTCTGTTTCGCCAGCTGTTCTTCTTTCTCCCCAAGGTCAATGCCAATGAGATTCTCTAGCAGAATCCATGTCCGACAACGGCTACTGACAGTCCGCTCACATGCACGGTGTGCAGTAATCAAGCCAGCGCACCCAGCGACGAAGAGGAATGCCATGACGAAAAGCAAGAAAGGGTCACTGATGGAAAACATGCAAATCCCAAACACTCCCATGTAATTTACCGACATTCGTGTGGTTGAAAAGGCGTCAATATGGTCAATGTAGATACATATTCCATACGTGGAGTGTCTGGGCACATTTGTTGAACATGTTGAAATACAAATAATCAAGGTCATGAAGAGGACCTAGGAGAACCCCAGCTTTGGTGTCTAGCTTGGGAGAGTGACTGATGATGCGCAAGGACTCTTGCGGAGTGTGCCCCACCGGCCGTGGACGCACAGGCAGGTAACAAGTGTGGATGAAACAAGGATGGTTGATTTTCAAAACAAATTGCGCATCACCAATCGCACAAGAAAAGGTTGGCTACCTAGATGGCACGCCAACTCAAACATGTTTTTCTTCACCATCCCAAGTTTTCAGGCGATGGGGCCCCTGGAAGAGGTGGATCTGGACAACCACCTCTCGATGGCTATTGCTTCTCCTAAATTAAAGTGTGGTCTCGAGATGATTTGGCCAGAAGTGTAGGTTCATTAGTTCTGGCATCGAGATGATCTAGGCGTGTCTTGCGAGCTACCGCAATCTCATCATTCTCATCTGTGTCGAATTGCGAGAAGTCTAAACACGACCACTACTGGTGCCCGTTGAAGTTGATACATTTTTCATGTGGGATACTAAACCACCATGGAACGCCGATCTGCAAAAGTCAGTACTTAAGTCAAGACTGCTGGCCTTCCCCATTGTAAACGCTACATACAGAACAAGGTTCTCCAGATTCACCTTTCCAAAAAGAGAAAACTTCAACTGCAAATCCCAATGGCAACGCAATTTGGAGAGCTACCCGACGTGGTAACTTACCCCATCGCACATGAACTTGACCCACCCCCATGGCACACCGCTTACCCACGAATGTAAGAACTTACCCCATTTGGACAAAATGGCACACCGCTTCGAAACAAGCACTTTTTCTCCTAGATTGTTTCTAAACCTACACTATTCCCTTGCGATTCAACCTTCTACATGTTGATGTGTTCAAATGTTATCTATGGGTTGCCGTGATCCAATCCCCATGGCACCCCGATTCTGACCCACATGTTGGTACCAGCTTTAAGTTTCTACCTGGAGTGCAAACAGCATGGAACTGTTCTTTAAACGTCAAAAATATCTATGCATTCTTGTGTGTATTCCTCTCCCAATCCCCATGGCACACCGCTTCGAAACAAGCACTTTTTCTCCTAGCCTAGATTGTTTCTAAACCTACACCATTCCATTGCGATTCAATCTTCTACTCGTTGAAGGGGAACCTATGGGCTGCCTATAGAAACCTCTAGAAACAACCTATGGGTTGCCTGCCAACTTCCTTGCGGTAGGTCTTGTGCAATCAAAACACTGTGAACGCTGAGTAAAACAAGCCCATTGAATAAAACCATGCATTTAGAAAACATCTTCCAACACACTCTATCCTGCAAGGAAACGCTATAGTGTATCGACTTCCTGGTTTGCTCATCACCTTCTATCTGCTATTTGAAAAAAACACGTCTCGACTTCAACAACTGGCAGTACCTGCCAAGTCAGGACCAGTTGCCCTCTGGAGGCCTTCTTGAACATAAACTCCTCTCCAAAAGCTGCGGGTCGAATTCCCTCAAGGTCAGACATGCTTTCGGGACGTCTTGGATTCCAAGTGACGTGTCGAGGTCCAACAAGACGGACCGAGCGAGCTTCTCTTCTTAAAGATCACTAAAGGTTGGGTACGTCCTGTTCCCGGGGCCCAGTGCATGATGCTTCAAGTGGCAGGCCTTTTCCCTACAGTGATAGTTGTGTAGCCAACAGTTACAGGTCATGGGACGACGTATAAAGAATAACAAAACACAACAACTCTATTGGGCCTCTAGACTTCAAACAACCATGGGGGTCATGGCCCGGGTGCATCCTAAAGTTTGGATTGGTGAATTCCTGGACATCTGTGAAGGATGATGGCAAGAGAACCATTGATATGCTACCAGTATTGAATCATTGTTGAACACAATTCTCCATAATGCTGACAGTCCCGAGGCATGCCCCACCAGTTGAACTGGAGTTATGACCCTCGGGCCGGGTATGGGGCAAGCTTTTGAAGAAGTGTCCGTGTCTGTACCTCCAAGGTTTTCGGTTTGTCAGCATGCCAAGTCAGTTCTCTATACTTGGAAAAAGGATCACATTAAAGATTCATCCAGAAACGTCCCAACTTCGCAGGTGCACCATCCACGCTTTCACCAGTCCTTGGCCAACATATCAGTGACCTGGTTGAAGAGATTGATGAACTTGGGCAAATCCTCAGCGGTGAGCACAGCTCGCTGCCCCAAGACGCTTTGCTGCCCTAAGACGCTACGACACGGCAAAAGCTTGCCGGATGAGATGGCGCCAGCAAGTGTTGTCCTCAGGTTTGCTCGCCACTTCTTTGCTTTCTCATAGCCAAAAAGCGGCTCCAAAGACAAACTCGTAGGAGGTGTGCCAACACACAAAAAAGGAGATAGACCCTATATAAAGACCCCCTTATAAGTAAACATATACTATAGAAATATTGATGCCATTGGCTTGGTTCCCGCTGTTCCAATACAATATGACTGGTTACCTGCTGTAGTAGTGACCATTCTCCATTCAAGAATCAACACATACAGTAAGGAATTGAATACATTTACATTGATCACTGATCACTGCTCAAGAAACAGCAACAAAAAGAACTTTAAACAAATACAGGCACACAAGCTTAAAGGGTTCTATCCCGCCTGCACACAGGAGGAACTAGCTAAAGTTTCTTCCAAGATGCTGCGCGTTGAACGGCTAATGACCCTGGGTAGCTTCACGAAAGAGCGTGAAGCCGGAGGTTGCGTCCAGTCCCCTGCTGCCACTTAAAGCTACAGTTGGATCTCAAGCACGTTGCCGAACACAGGCCAGCAAAAAGACCCATATATAGAATGTATCCAGGAAATAGAACTCACGACCAGTTATGAATGATCCAGTACGAATTCTTATTGACAGTGATGAATGATCCAATGATTTTCCCTTGGTTAAGGTGTTTTCAGGTGGAAATCAAGACCAACCAGATGCGCGAGGATTTCGCAGATCGAGAGTCAATGATGCCCAGATTCTGTGGATCGCCACCGCCTAGACCCGGTGCCTAGCAGCGACCACGTGGCACGCGCGGACTTCTGCGGACTTCTGCGGCTTCGTGACTGAGACTCCCGTTTGGGCTCCTGGCCTACCTCCGTTTCGTTTCGGTGGGACTGGGGTACCTGCCAGGGGGGGTCAAACCACCTTCTAACAACTTTTTGAGCGCACACTTTTGGACTCCCGCAGAGTCAGCGGACATCTGCAAGGACCTAACGAAAGCCACGAACACTCAGCCTCTGGCAGGCCAAACGCAAAAAGCCAGGAAAAACGATTCGACACTGGACTTGGTTCCCCTTTTCCCAGGTCGGTCCTCTACATATATATATATATATGTGTGTGTGTGTGTGTGTTTCTGCCCCACGGCAGGTGGGTGGCGACGTACCGCGTCGCGCTAGTCGCTGGTCGCCTGCTGCTCCTGCTTGTGGAGCCAGTGCAACAAGAGCTCTGCAGCTGGGCTTTCCACGAAGATCCCACAAACGCGCAGGGCCTCGACCCGTCCCGGTTCCTCCAAACACTCCATGTATGGAATTAAAATACATGCAATATTGTTAATATTATACATATACCAGCAGTCACAAAGGGGTGCTTAATGGAGGTTAGGGGTGCCCATTATCCACTCACTTAAGGACTAAACACCACCCCTTTGCGACTCCTGGTACATAATATATTTAATATTAAACTAGTTCTATTGTATTTATGCTTTATTATATATATATATTTATGATTATGTATGCATTTGTATGCCTACAGTGACCCCGTGTCAACCACCCCCAATGTAGGATAATGTAGGTATATATGGCATACATCGAGTGTGTGAGGGGGGGAAGATGGAGAGTTACCATCTGTTTGTAAGGGAGTGTTGTTTTCCAAGGAGCCATACTATCCACTTCCATGTGAGTGAGAGTGAGCGTGTAATGATAAAGCCTCAACCGACGATGGTGATGTGCTAGAAGGTGCTGCAATAATTTTAATGCAGTTGATGTGAAGGACTGATGGCGGTCAATTTTCTAGCCATGTGAGGTAGTGCAATGAATCTATGAACTGCACGCCTCTTCTAATAGATGTATAGGCAATCATATTCCAGATATTGCTTTTTGCATTTTGGAGGTCGTTCCATGACAGGAACACGATATGTTGATTGATCATGATTTATCGCAGGGCCAGTATGAAATCTTGGGTTCTCATCAAAGAACAACACAAAAACTGACGAACTCACAATTGATCACATCTTTTCCGGCCAAGCTACATACAAACTTGGATTTGCCTTTTCTGTGATTGCTAGGATCAGATCTGCCCTCATAAATCGACCAAGAATCCATCAGCATGGGGATCAGAAGGAATCAAGGCTTTGGGGCATCAAATTCCCACATCTCCGGCATGAAACCGCCCGTTCGACGATTCAAGCCTGCTTCTTCCAGAGTGTCTGCTGATATCAGTTCTGATGAGACATTTGAAAGTCCAACCCCGCAAGTGTCTTGGAGCTTAACCACCTATGCAGGCTATGTCTGAATCTCCAAACCCAAACAAATTCCATTCCATTTCCCCAAAATGCAAACAACAGTTCCAACAAAGTCCACTCTTCGCGCAAACCAACGAACGGACCCAAGGAAAAACCGCCTTCTCGACGGAGCTCGAAAACACGACGGTCCGTCACGTCACGCCGAAGTCCGTCCCGTTCGCTCGCGCGTTCATTCGCCCGGCCCCGCCCGTTCGCCCGGCCCCGCCCGCGACGCGAGCGAGCGAAGTTGGCGCG